TAAATAACTAAAAAAAAGAAAAACCTTTAAGATTCTAAATTAGCATTTAATATAGCCAGTTGTTTCCACAGAGAGTTGGGTCAAAACCTAGTGTTCCTGTGTTTGAAATTAGGTATGTATAAGTTGGGAAACAGTTTGTATTTTAATGTTTAATTTGAATCCTTGGCAATATAACTACATCTGTATGCTATTAAAGTGAAAATTTGCTTTTTAGGAATCAACATTATACAAATATCTCAGAACTGTCTAACACGTCTGAAAATGATGAACAAAATGCTGAGGATTTGGTATGAAGTTTGTTGATTCTACAATTATTTTTGTTAATTTCAAATGGTAATTTAAAAAGTGAAGTAAAAGATGTTACCTAATGTCAATTATTGCTATATTGCAATGAACTGTGAAGATAGGGCATTTGATAAAAAAAAAAGTTTTTTGAATTTTCTAGATGATTAGTGAAATAATTTGTTTTAGTTAGTAATATCAATTAAAATATATCTAAATGAATAACTTTAGGTGTGGAATATATTCTCTTTCCAAATTTTAGCTAGTGAAAGGTGTATTATAAAAAAGACCTTGGAAATTTTTTTGGTAAAACCAATGTTTGAGTGTTGGGTTTTATCATAATCAAAGACTAGTGAACCTGACCATTCTCAAAGTGCCGTAATGTCCTTCACTTAAGATGGTGCTGGAGTGTAAGTTCATGGGCATATATAGCAATGACGTTGTGTAATTTCACTTCATACAGAAGTAGTCTGTGGTAGGAAGTTGCAGCAAAGATGTTCTTTAGAGACAATATAGTGTTAATTTCTACAAACCCTTATGATAGACTTTTTTCTTAACATATATTAGAATAAAAATGGATATACTAATAAGTGATTTAGGGAATAAGAAAATGTCCAAGAACTGTAGGAGACTATGGGTTTCTGGGGTTGTATGGATAGAGGTAAAACACAGTTTTTCTATTCAGGAAATGCACAAAGCATCTTTTTATAGCTATAATTTTGAACTTTGCGATTAATACATGTTCTTAGGGAATGAAAAGGATTATTAAGAATGGTTGGTTTTTTGAAGCCTGGGTGCCACAAAGATCCATCTGATAGAGTCTGTCTTTGGAGTTTTTGTTAATATGTTATAACTGTGGTAAGATCAGATGTCTTTGATAGGTTTTTTTATTAAGAGTATTTCTAATGAGAATAAATAGTTAAGGTGCTCTGATTTTATTCCTAGGATGATAGCGATCTTCCTAAAACATCTTCTGGAAGAAGGAGAGTAAGTTACTCGGCATGATTGACTTTTGTGGTTTGTTTGTTCTTTGTTTTAAAATCAAGTTAAGATTGCAGGTTTTGTCTTTGCAAAGTTATATCGATACAGATTTTGAACATTTTATAAGAGAAATGGGGAAAATCGCTGGAAAGTTTTAGTGGAAGAGTTGGGATTTGAACTGTATTCTCTGTGAGATGGAGTGAATAAGAGACCATTAAAAAAATGGGGGATAAGCCCTGAAAGGGACTCAAGTTTAAAAAAAAAAATAGGGAATGTTAAAGCAAACACAAGAAAAAGTAGAAAAGTATGGCATGACCATGGGTTAGTAAGGGCACTGGCTTACAGGCATAGAGGTTGGATATTGAAGTGAGCAAAGTGGTTATGTCTGGCTGTTGTGTTGGGGGTAGATTATGGTAATGTTGAAATCCAAGGGTTTCATTTAAGTTTAAAGTAGATAATCAATTGCACGGCCAAAATAGATAAATAGAATTTGAAGGACAAGAAGATGAGTATTAAGGAAATGAGTTAGAAGTTCATTGCAAGAATGTAGAGTGAAGGATGAGAACCTAATAAAGGATAATGTTTGCAATAAAGAGGAAGGGAAAATGATGAGACCTTTAAAGGGGAATATTACCCAGGGTTTAGTGATTGAACTTTTTGAAAAATGGGGATTTGTTGGGAGATGAGGTCGAGGTGTTGAAGAAGGATGTATGGAAATAAGTTTAGGAAATTGGGTAATTATAATGGGGTATCATCAGCAGCTCTTGAAATTGTAACATAATAGGTTAGTTAAAAGTCAAGTTTATTTATTAATGTGAAAATGCTTAAAATATTTTAATCCAGGTAGTTTTAAATATCATCCCAATGCTCCTAAAATTTTAAGATTTTTATCAAATAATTTTTACCATGTGCTTGCCCCAAATGACATTGTAAAGTTAGACCTGAAATAGTCTAATCTGATTTGTCATTTTCATATAATTTTATTTCTAAACAGACTCCAAGTTTTTTTTTGAGACAGAATCTCACTTTCTTGCCTAGGCTAGTGTGCCGTGGCGTCAGTCTAGCTCACAGCAACCTCAAACTCCTGGGCTCAGGCGATCCTCCTGCCTCAGCCTTCCAGGTAGCTGGGACTACAGGCACACACCACTGTGCCCATGCCCAGCTAATTTTTTTCTATTTTTAGTTGTTTGGCTAATTTCTTTCTATTTATAGTAGAGATGGGGTCTCGCTCTTGCTGAGGCTGGTCTCGAACTCCTGAGCTCAAGCGATCCTCCCACCTCGGCCTCCCAGAGTGCTAGGATTACAGGTGTGAGCCACCGTGCCCAGCCCCAAGTTTTTAATATGTTTGTTTGCTGTGTCTGCTATAGCAAATGACAGATTTAGTTGCTTAAATTATCAAAATGTATTACCTCATAATTCTGTAATTAGAAGATTGCATGGGTCCTACTGGGCCTAAATCATGGTTTTGGCATGGCTGGAAACTAGCAGGGGAGAGTTCTTTGTGTTTTTTAGCTTCTAGAAGCTGTCCCCTTCCTTGGCTACAGGTCCCCTTCCTTGGCTACAGGTCCCCTTCTTCCATTTTCAAGCCAACAGCATAGCTTCTCACAATCTGTCTCTGACTCTGACTCTTCTGCTTCCTTCTTATAATGACCTTTGTGATTACATTGGGCCCGTGCAGTTACCTAGGCTAATCTCCAACCTCAAGGTTCATAATCTTAATTACATCTGCAAAGTATCTTTTCCCATAGAGGATAACAGAGTCATAGGTTGTGAGGATTATGATGTGGACATCTTTGGTGGGGCCATTTTACTGCCTGTCACATTATGAAATACACTTCATATTTGTTGAAAACAAATTTTATAAACTTGGAAGGAGAGGTTATGGAATAGCCTTTCAGTGGATAATGCACTCTTGCTGGAGCATGCTTTTCATAGTTAATCCTGTGATTTTTTCTGAAGTTGGCAGGTTATATCAAAATGTGTTATATGGCTAGTTTTAAAATTTTGTTTCTAGAAAAATGTGTTGAGAGCAACATATGTGACATTATTGAGTTTTTACAGAAAATTTGGTTTTTCTAACTGCAGCCACGGTTCTCATAGCACACAATACAGAAGACAATAGCTCAGTTGCATTTTACTGTAGTCATATACCATTGTGATTTTTTTCCTAAGACCGAAAACACTTCAACTATTATGAATGTATTTTTAGGTCCATGATTGGAAAAAAAGGAGCAGCAGAGCTACCAACTGTGTTGAAAGCAACTGGAAGAAACAGTGTAAGGAACTAGTGAACTTAATTTTTCAATGTGAAGATTCTGAACCGTTTAGACAACCTGTTGATTTGGTTGAATATCCAGTAAGTTTTCATTGTTGAATGTTTGGGGCTTTTCTTGTTTTGTGGCGAGGAGATTGGGGTAGAGGTATTTAAATTAAGCTTTAAAGAGTAAGATGCATAGGCTTTATTTTAACTTCTCTTTTTTTCTCTACAGTTGGCTGTAGAAATATTGTTTTATATAGTTTCTTGAGCTCACAGACACCCTTAACTCATTTAAGAATTTAGACATAGTTAACCATTGTTGTGTAATAATGGAAGGGTTCTACGTATATCTCTATTATCTAAATAGGCCCAGCACCAGCAAAACTATGAATTGGATAAAAGTATCTCATTTTACTTCTTAAATAGGGGAATTGGAAGATGACCCTAAAAAAAAAAAAAAAAAAAAAAAAAAAGATTATAACAGCACAGATTTACTGTAGGAAGCTTGGAAATTACAGAAGAGTGTAACTCAGGAAATAAATAAAATCCACCCCATGTCCCAGTATCAAGATATAGACATTAACATTTTGGTATATTTCTTTCTATCTAGTCTTTGCATCTGTACCTCTTTTTAAATAGTATTAATGAATCTTAAGATCCTTCTAACCTTTTCTCTCTTCCATCATTTCAAATGTATTAGAGATTGAATGCATTTACATTTCTAAAAGCAGGAAATGAATCTGTGAAGTAATTATTGTTTTTAAAACCTAGGACTACCGAGATATTATAGATACCCCAATGGATTTTGGAACAGTAAGGGAAACTCTAGATGCGGGAAATTATGACAGCCCTTTGGAATTTTGCAAAGACATCCGGTTGATATTTAGCAATGCAAAAGCATATACACCAAACAAAAGATCAAAGGTAATTTTTTAAGTGGTTTATAAAAAAAGTGTGCCTGATTTGTGTAGATGATTTTCTACTTGCTGCAGAGGTTGGATCATTAAAGATAAGTAATGAAGTAAAACTACTATAAAGAATAGAGCTGCTGCTGCCGCCCAGATATCTTCAGTTTTTGCCTTAAAACAATTGATGTTTATCATGATCTCTGGAAGTTTTATGAGCAAATGAGGATTGGTGGGAATAAGGGTACCAGTAGAAAGCAAACAAATTTGATACATAGAATAAGAGTCTCTGTTTTATACATGTAGGGATCTTAAAAAATGGACTAGAAACATTGATAGAGACTGGAAGAATATTAAAAGTAATAAAAGGCTAGGCTTAGTGGTTCAAGCTCGTAATCTCAGCACTTTCGAAGGCCGAAAGGGATGGATCACTTGAAGGACAGACCCTGTCTCTACAAAAAATAAAAATAAAAAAATTAGCCAGATGTGGTGTGTGCCTGTAGTCCCAGCCTCTCAGGAGGCTTAGGTGGATAGATCACTTTAGCCCAGGAGTTTGAGGTTACAATGAACTATGATTGCACCACTGCACTCTGGCCTGGGTGACAGAGCGAGACCCTGTCTCTAAAAAATAAATAAAAAATGAACTAATAAATAAATTAATACAAGGGAAATCTGAAGTGGGAGTGAGACTACTGATAGCATGCTAATGTTTTGGATCCAAAGAAGCAACACGAGCTATCTGATTATTTAAGACGACAAACAGAACATTCCCAAATTTTTGTTAAAATGTTAAATGTTGGACAACTTTTCAAAGCTTGTTGAGGTATAATAAACATGTAAAAGTTTACATGTCATATGCCCAGTGCATTTTCACAAACATTACACCATTGTGTTGGGTATTTAAAAACATAATAAGATCTAAAGTAAAACACTTTGATATCTTACAGCATTTTTTTGTGTTTACAATCAGTTGACTGTTACTGCTAATTAACTGTCTTGCCTTAACTCCACTTCCTCCTCATTACTTAATATTAGCCTACTCCTGCATTATTATGTCTAGTCTCAATTTGAGAATTCTTTTGTTACATTTTATATCCAAATTGCTTGTCGGGTCAGGTTAACATTCAATTCTAACATTTTTCCAGGCTTGGGTTTTTGTCATATTCACCATTTTTAAGACTATATCTTTCTTTTCAGAGAGAAAATAAATTTCACTCGTGTCTACCCTCCATCCCCCTTAAGAAACACATGTTTTAGGACACATACCATACAATTCATCATTTAAAGTGCACAATTTAGTAGTTTTTGGTATATTATCAAATGTGCAAAATTGTGTTTAAATATGTAACATAACATTTGCCACTTTAACCATTTTTAAGTGTGTAATTCAGTGGCATTAATTATGTTCACAAGATTTCTGAAATTTTATCACCCTAAGCAGAAACTCTGAAACCATTTATCAGGAATTCTCTATCTCCCCCCTTTTCCCCCAGCCCTTGGTAATCTCTCACCTACTTTCTGCCTGTACGAATTTGTCTGTTCTAGATATAAACATATAGATCATACTGTGTTTGTCCTTTTGTGTCTGGTTTATTTCATTTAACATATGCCTTAAAGGCTTGTGCATGTTGTAGCATATGTCAGAAATCTATTCCTTTTGATGGCTGAATAATACTCCAGTGTGTGGGTATATAACACATTTATTCATTCATCTGTTTGATGAACAGGTTGGGTTGTTTCTACTGTTTGGCCATTAAGAATAATGCCACAGTGAATTTTGGAATACAAATATCTGTCAGAGTCCTTGCTCTCAATTCCCTTGAGTGTATACCTAAGAGTAGAATTTCTGGGTCATTGGGTAATTCTATGCTTAGCTTTTCTAGGAATCACTACAGTGTTTTCCATAATGGCTATACCATTTTACATTCCCACTGGCAATGTATGAGGGTTCTAGTTTCTTCACATCCTCACCAACACTTCTATTTTTAGAGATTTTTTTTTTTTTTAAATTGTAGCCATCCTAGGAAGTGTGAAGTGTTATTTCATTGTGTTTTGATTTTCATATGACTTATTGTATTAAAAATTGTACCTGGGATTTATTTTAATCAGGAATGATAAGACATGCAGATGCGGAAATGATTGTCATGAACAAGTTTATACTTACAGAACCCTAGAAACAGGAGGCATGTACCACACAGGGAAAAGTGGGGAAGGACCAGGGTCTGTCAGGAGACAGAGGGGACAACAGGGTAAGGCATGGCCCCAGAGCCTTTATTGGGTTTTCATGGGAAGGCAAGGCAAGGCAGGGCAGAGTAAGCAGTTTAGGTTTGGCTAGTTTGAATAATTTCAGGAGAATTTTGGCTGTAGCGGAGGTTTCTAGTGTTTTGGTACCTAGCTCTGGGGTACTTTAGGGCTCGGGGAATATTGGCTTGTTGTATGAGAGTTTGATAAATGACACAGAGGGGATATGGGTTCTGGATTCGTTGATTTGTTTATCAAAGGTATACAGCAGAGTCATTTGCTTTCTCTAGAGATTAGCATGCTCTGGGAAGGGTAGTCATCCATTCCAGGATCAGGTCTCCAAATGCTAAAGTATCAAGAATACAGAAAATACAGTTGGTACACTAATGATGTTTAGCATCTTTTCATGTGCTTATTGGCCATTTGTATATCTTCTTTTGAGAAATGTCTATTCAAGTCCTTTGCCCATTTTTTAAATTGGACTGTTTATTTTTTTGTTAAGTTATAGTTCTTTACATAATCTGGATATTAAACCCTTATCAGATACATGATTTCCAGTATTTCTTCTATTCTATAGGTCGGCTTTTCACTTTGTTGGTAATGTCCTTTGTACAAAAGATTTTCATTTCGGTGAAGTCCAATTCATCTATTTTTTTCTTTTGTTTCTCATTCTTTTGGATTCATATCTTAAGAATCCATTGCCAAATCCAAAATCATGAGGATTTATCCCATGTATCTTAAGAGTTTTATGGTTTACCTTGTATATTTAAGTTGTTGATGCATTTCGAGTTAGTATTTGTATGTAGGGTGAGGTAGGGGGCCCAACCATTCTTTTATATGTGGAAGTCCAGTTCTTCCACAGCCATCTTTTTTGGAGAGACTATTCTTTCTCCATTAAATAAACTTAGTACCTTTGCTGAAAAGTATGTGAGTTTTCCTGAACTCTCAATTCTATTCCATTGGTATATATGTTTATATATCTCTCTATATACGTGTATATGTCTACATGCCAGTAACACAGTTTGGCTTACTGTAGCTTTACAGTAAGTTTTGAAACTAGCAAGTGTGAGTCCTCTAGCTTTGTTCTTTTTCAGTTTTGGCTACTCGGTCCCTTGCAGTTCATTATGAATTTTGAGGATCACCTTTTCCATTTCTGCAGAGAAGGCTGTTGGAATTTTGTTGGGATTGCATTGACTGTGTGGATTGCTTTGGGTAGGGTAGTATTAACATCTTGACAATATTTAATCTTCCCATTTGAACATGTGATGTCTTTACATTTATTTAGGTCTTCTTTAATTTCTTTTAGCAATGTTTTGTAGTTTCAGTGTACAAGTTTTACACCTCCTTGGCTAAATTTATTCCCAGTTTTTTTTTATTATTTTAGATACTGTCATAAATAGAATTGCTTTTTAAATTTCCTTCTCTGTTCATTGCTGGTGTATGGAAACATAACTGATTTTTGCATGTTGATCTCGTACCCTTGGATTTTGCTGAGTTCATTTATTACCTCTAATAACTTCCTTATGGATTCTTTGGGAGTTCCTAGTTACATAAAATATGTCTTATGTGAATAGAGATTAGAGATGGTTTTACTTCTTTGCAGTCTTGTCTAATTCCTCTGGCTAGAACTTAAAGTACAGTATTGAATAATAGTGGTAAATGCGGGCATCCTGTTTCATTCCTAATCTTAAGGGAAAAAATCTTCCACTATTGCGTATGGTGTTAGCCTTGGTTTTTCATAAATGCCCTTTCTCATGTTGAGGAGCTGGTTGTCAGGTTTTTTTTGTTTGTTTTTATTTCAGCATATTATGGGGGCACAGATGTTTAGGTTACATATGTTGAGGTTGGGAGTTTTAACACCAGATTTGTTAAATCTTGTGTATTTTCAATTAAAATGTATTACTGAATTTTACATGGAAACTGAGAAAACGATACATGATATAACTAGAGGTTTCAAACTTAATATGATTGAAACAAATCATTCATCTTGTTAAGGTGATTAATGATTAAGCTTGTGACTTAATCTAGTATTCAGGTTTGAAAGAAAGTAAAATTTATATATGTATAAATAAAATATTGGAAATAATTGTCAGATTATTTCAGATTAAGTATGATAACAAATTACACATATTCATGTGTGTGCATATGAGAAACATGTAGGAAAGTCATATATCTCATGCTTTTTTGAAGTTCTCTGGTGTTAGGTTTCTTCCCGCATTCACTGCCATACACAAGACTGATACCTTTTGAACATTATTAAACTTTTGCATTTATTTTCAGGAATGATTGTGGAGCAGTGTAGGGTACTTCTGTAAATACATAGCTGTACCAAAAGTTATTTACAGTAGTGTACTTACACAGATCTGACGTTATTTAATTATAAAAATTGTTAAAACACAAATAATCTTTCATGTGCATTAAAGTTCTAGGATATATTTTCTTCTACTGGATACAGGCATTCTTTTTTTTTTTTTGAGACAGAGTCTCACTGTGTTGCCTGGGCTAGAGTGCCGTGGCGTCAGCCTAGCTCACAGCAACCTCAAACTCCTGGGCTCAAGCGATCCTCCTGCCTCAGCCCCAGATAGCTGGGACTACAGGCATGCGCCACCACGCCCGGCTAATTTTTTCTATATATATTTTTTAGTTGTCCGGCTAACTTCTTTCTATTTTTTTAGTAGAGACGGGGTCTCGCTCTTGCTCAGGCTGGTTTCGAACTCCTGAGCTCAAACAATCCTCCCGCCTCAGCCTCCCAGAGTGCTAGGATTATAGGCGTGAGCCACCGCGCCCGGCCTACAGGCATTCTTTTGTTTGTAATTCATCTTTACAGTTAGTTGGTGGCATCAAAGGCAGTCACATTGCAAATAGAGACTGGTATAAAAGTGCTTTTGTTCCCTTGCCCCAAAGAGACACTGCACTTTTGCTGCCTAAATAGCAGCCTTAAAGTTAACCAACTTCCCATCTGATTTTAGGAGGGAGGGACATTTTGGGATTTATACATAGATGTCAAAATTGGGGAAAAAAAAACAATCGAGGTACACTGCCATATAGACATAAGTGCTGAATTCTAGATCCTAAAGAGTTCCTTGATTTAAAATTACTTTCTTATCATCTGAGAGGTGTGTATTTGATACTTCCTATTTCTTGCAGATGTCATTGAGGGGAAGGAGTTGGAAATAGAAAAAATAGGCAACAGCTATTATCTGCAAGCAGTGATAAAACATATTGCAAGTAATCTCAGTGACTAAAGTTATTTTTTAAAATACTTATAAAGCTATTTTGTAATTCTAGTTGTGCTTTTATATCTTTGCAGATTTATAGCATGACCTTGAGATTGTCTGCCTTATTTGAAGAAAAAATGAAGAAAATCTCTTCTGATTTTAAAATTGGTCAAAAATTCAATGAAAAACTTCGAAGAAGCCAGAGGTTCAGGCAACGGCAAAATCGTAAAGGTGTTAGTCAGGCTAACAAAAGTATCAGGTGAATTGGTTATGGCAAGCTTTGTGTGCAGCTTTTAAAAAATTTAAGTTCGTGATAGTTCTTTGATTTATTATGCTAAAAATTCTTAATCTTTTTAGTGTACTGTATATTGAGAAAAGACTAGTCACAGGTATTTATAGCTTGAAAGCATTTCTGTGAATACAGAGCTGTTGCATTGGTTTGTAATTATCAAGGATTATTTAAATATCATTTGTCTTTTGTATAAGAAATGGCTTTTTAATGTAGACAGTAAAGTTATTACTATGTATAGCCTTTAAACATTTTGATTGTGTAGTGGAAAATGTCCACTAGATATAAAAGTGTAGATTTGAGTTACCTTATGATGTCACTTTATTTTCAAGCCTGGCTTCTTAGATGTCTTCATTGGGTCAATGAGCATAGCTTAGTGGTCAGCATAGCTTAGGGGTCAGTGTGTCACATGGAGCAAACTTTAAAGTTAGGGTAGTACAAGTCTACCTTGGCTTTCACTTTCTCCTAATATTTAATCAGAAATAAGGGTCTGAAGGTCAGCCCAGGATGGGTAGATAACTGGGCTTTTTGAATGTGTGTGCATCCTTCCAAAACCCCAAGAAAATGATGGAGGCTTTTCAGACTCCTAATGCTGTCTCATTGCCTAGATCTCCCTTTTAAATTTTGGCTGAACTCTTGCTTGCTCTGACAGTATCACAGCTTTAGACAGCTGTCCTGTTGGCTGTGCTGGATTGCCAGCAGTCACTACTGTTTGCAGTCCCTTTGAGCATGCAGCTTTTCTGTGGCACTCCCACATCAGGCCTGCCCCACCTCCTCACGGCTGCTATGCCCAGGGACTTGAGAGGAGTGTGTTAACTGGGTTACTGGGAGCAGCCCCAAGTTAATATGCCATAGACTCTACTATTTTTACCTAAGTGCACTAGTTTTCTTGAATAGGCATTTTTGAATTTGTTGTATGCCTTTGGGTAATTTCTAGAGTTCGGAAGTGTTGTATTTGCCAGTTTTATTTTTGCCTATTGGATGAGAGGACTTGCTGAATTCCTCATCCCTCCGCACCCCGCAATGTTTAGAATAGCAGAGCCACATTGAGACACAAAACATGCCAATTAGGTAAATTACTTAGTTCTCTTCAGGTGCTTTGCAACTTGTAATTCAAATACATGCATTACATACAGAGTAATATGTGAGTTTTCCCTCACCTCTTTTTTTTAAACTTCTCATTTTGAAATAATTTCAGAATTATGAAAAGTTGCAAGAACAAATTCAAAGAACTCCTTTATACTCTTGACCTAGATTGATTCAGCAGCTATTCACTTATGCCATATTTGCTTTATTGTTGCTTTCATATTTTCTCCATTACATGTTTTTTTCTTTTGAATCACTAAAAAGTATTTTTTTGATAACATGCCCCTTTGGCCCTAAATACTTTGTGTGATTTGCTAATACCTTGTTTATATTTCTACAGTTGATTCAATAGTGTCATTAGGGCAAATGTTTTTCTTTCTTTCTTTTTTTTTTTTTTTTTTTAGACAGAGTCTCACTCTGTTGCCTGGGCTAGAGTGCCATGGCGTCATCCTAGCTCACAGCAACCTCAAATTCCTGGGCTCAAGTGATCCTCCTGCCTCAGCCTCCCGAGTAGCTGGGACTACAGGCAGGCACCACCATGCCCGGTTAATTTTTTCTTTATATTTTTAGTTGTCCAATTAATTTCTTTCTAATTTTAGTAGAGACGGGGTTCTTGCTCTTGCTCAGGCTGGTTTCGAACTCCTGAGCTCAAACAATCCGCCTGCCTCGGCCTCCCAGAGAGCTAGGATTACAGGCGTGAGCCACCGCGTCCGGCCTGGGGCAAATGTTTTTCTAATCGAGATCCAATTTAAGATCGTGCATTACATTTAGCTGTTATGTCTGTTTAGTCTCTTTTAATCTGGAATATCTTTTTCAATCATTTCTTTGTGTTCTTGACTGACGTTTTTGAAGAGTGTGGGTCATTCATTTTTAAAATGACTCTCAGTTTGGGTTTGTCTGTTTTGTGTAGGTTTTCAATTTTTTTATTATGATGAAAGCCCCTTTCTCTTTATACCAAGGAAAAGTATAACATTTTAGAAGGACATAGGATAAAAAGGGAAAGCTTTTACTCTTAAGATATTACCACTTTGTTGACTGTTAAAAATCAAGTTTATGATAAGTATAAATATGTGTTTTTCTTTTTGTATTTACTTATATGCCCTTCTTTGATATTAATGACACTTAAAATTTTTTGAAATTTCTTTATATAAAGAATTATACTTTGAAGAATTATGATTATTTTTAAGCTCCAATGTCTAGATACCCCTTAAAGGCCACTTTTCTTTTTGTTTTAAAGGAAAATAGTATTATCTCAACACAAAAATTACCTAGATTTGTAATTCACCTTAAACTTTCACTCCTTTCCCATAATCCATGGTTCAGAGGCCAGCCATGAGGAACTGGTGTGGTTGGGTGTATACAGTCTGGTCTTAGAAAAAAAAAAAATAGTTCTATTGTCTTTTTTAACCTTTTCTCTCTGTTCAGATTTTGTTGGTTTCTCCTCTTAATATTATGCTGTCTTTAGGGACATACAAAAAAGAGACTAGAGAGAAAGTTGGGTCCTGTTGAGGCTAGAATTCCTGGTATGAATGAATGCCTGTGTTACATAAATGTTGGTTCCACTTAGAATTTAATCCTAAGAACCTAAGGTATTCAAATGAGTTTCTGTAACTGTTATTTGGATCATTTGTTCGTTATGTCAAATTTGAATATAACTTTATATAGAGTAAGGAAATAATAGTAATCAATGCCAGAATGTAATAGTGAATATTTAAATATCTTGATCATAAAATTATTCTCAGGCTAAGAAATAATACATTTTATTTAGACATTCTCTGTGAACCAGTTACCTTCATGTTTTATTAAATATTGTCTTCTTTGTTCATATCTTTGACCAGAAATATGAAGCAGAAGCGGTTAAAATCTCAGACAAAAGCAATCTCTGAGTTGGTAGGTTCTCCTACCCAGTCTACTTCAAGTAGGGCGGCTTATTCTGCAACCCATAAGACGGGTGCCGGTATCTCTTCAGGTGTTACTTCTGGTGACTCTTCAGATTCAGCAGGATCCTCAGAAAGAATGAGAAGAAGTAGACCTACAGCTCTAACAAATGGTTCTACATTATCTGGTGAGAAGTGGAACATTATGTTACTCAGCTGTTCAGCATCCAAATGTGTAACATGGCCAGTTAGTATGGATTTAGATGAAAACATAAAGACATGGCCTTGATACAAAAGGAACTTAAAATTTAATGGAAGAGACAAAAGTAATAAACAGAAAGAGTTAGAATATGATTGATAAGTACTGTGCTCTGCAAATGGTACATCCACATTTTATGCAAATTTGAATTGTTCAAATTTTCAATCGTAATATTAATATATTCATCACTTTGTGTGCAAAATTGACATTTTTGTATCTCTTTAAATTAAAAAAGTATTGATAATCATGTAAGTTCAAAGCTGATGACCTAGTACATTCCAAACTTCATGCCATTGCCATTTGGTAGCATAACTGTAGCTGGCGCTGACCCCTTGTTAGCAATGTATAAATAAGGGTGTAGTATTTCTGTACTTCTCTATTGCTGTCAGTGATTTTAATATAGTATACAATAGTATACTATTTACTATTATAATTTAATGTTTTTCACACCTTATATTATGCAATATTTGGATTAATTAAGTGGTATTGATAATACTGAAAAATACACTCACAGATAAAAGTTTGGAATGGAAGTTACCTGTGATAAAATGCTGTGGAGAAGGTCAGACAAGTAAGCTGATGTGTGCCACATGAGAATTATACAGTGTCTTAAGGGATGCATTTATAGCATAAAATGTTCAATTAGAGTGTGCTGGAGGAATTGAAAATGGGACTGTAGGTAAAGCGGAAACTTTTCAAGCACGGTAGCAACTATGAGAAAAAAGCACTGAAGGAAAAGAAGGATGTACTTTGTGAATATGAAAAGAGTGCATTTTGGGGAATGGTACAAAGAATATAATCAAACACAATGTAGCCAGTTTAGAGACTGTCAGGCCTTGCGGAAAAGTTTGAATAACTTAATTTTGGGTCACTTGTTAAATGAGTGAGTCACATGAAGAATTCTGTTTCAGGAAGATTAATCAATTTAGCAGTGATGTGCAGGGGAGGGGAAGAGTCTGAAAATACGGAGTCAAGGTGTGATGGGTGGTGGAATTGAGTAGGAGTAGCTGAGGTGGGCAAACAGCAGAACAATTTCAAAGGACGAAACACAATTTGGTTTCGGATATCTTTCTAACACAGCCACTTCGTTCTCTAACATAGAGTTGGGTTGATTATGGACAAAAATTTTGGTCTTTTAACAATATGTTGCTCATGAATTTGATGAAATTTTTATTTGGTGATAGGCATTTCTGGATTCTGTATGAAGGAATAGGAAATTTGGGTTTCCCGTCTTGTGCTACCACTGGGGCATGCAATTATGAAGTAGAATAGGAAGGAAAGCCACCTTTATTGTTTAAATGATTTCCTTATATCATTTTCTTCCCCCTCCCCCCGGCCAATGTGTGTGTATAACACACAGAAATGACCTTTCTTGAGCTGTATGTATGTATGAGATATAATACAACTATGCCGTTAGGAAGGGCTACTAGAGAAAGACCTAAAAATATGTCTTCTGAAATGGTAGACTTCAAATGATTTTGTCTTTTCAATATGAAATACCTGTCTGATACCACAGAAAGAGGTAGATAGTGGGGCTAATTAAATTTTTAAATGAAAGTTTGTTTATAAAATATATAAACAGTGTTTTCTGAATCTAGTCCAGGATAATTTATTTTTAGAAATATGAACAGAAACTTCATTTGGAATACTGATTATGTACCTCCCCCGCTTTTTTTTGGGTCTTGCTCTGTCACCCAGATGAGAGTAGAGCAGTGTGATCATAGCTCGCTGTAACCCTAAACTCCTAGCCTTTTTTTTTTTTCCCCCCCAAAATCATGGCTTGTTGTATCCTAGCCTTAAATGTTCCTCCTGCCTCAGCCTCCAGAGTAGCTGGAACTATAGGCACATGCCACCATGCCCAGCTAATTAAAATAAAAATTTTTTGTAAAGGTGGGGTTTCACTTTTTGCCCAGGCTAGTCTTGAACTCCTGGCCTCAAGTGAACCTCTTGCCTTGGCCTCCCTAAGCACTAGGATTACAGGTTTAAGTCACCATGCCTGGCCCTATGTATGTTTTAATGCCAAAAATTTTATCAACGTTTTTGTGAAACAGTTTTACAAAAATACATTCTAAGTATTTTAATATAATGTTATGAAGTAACTGTTTGCTTATGTGTGTAAAGATAGGAGAATATATGTAATTAACTATTTACACATTTTTTTCTTAGAAAGTGAAATGGAAGATTCCTTAGCTACCTCTCCATCATCTTCAGCTTCAAATAGTTCAGAGGAAAGCAAAGAGAGTTCAAGAGCTCGTGAATCCTCCTTACGTAGTGGGCTGTCCAGAAGCAGCAGTCTCAGGGTGACTAGAACTAGAGCTGCTCAAAGAAAAACTGGTAAGAGACTTAGTGGTACTTTGGAGGAATAGTATATCACAAGGATCCAAAAGTTAAACATTGAGTGGATTATTGACTTAATGCCATCTACATATAATTAATGTCCTTTAGGCTTTTTAGATTTAGAAAGGAAATCAGTGTTGGCATTAAAAAGTAAGGAAAATCACTAAAATAATAGTCATTAAAAAAACCTTGAAATAAGGAAAACCTTTTAAATCTTACTGTTACTTTATTTTAGGTCCTGTTTCTTTAGAAAATGGATGTGGCAGAAAAGCTACTCGAAAGAGAGTCTACTTAAGTGACTCTGACAACAATTCATTGGAGACAGGTGAAATTTTAAAAGCCAGAGCTGGAAATAACCGAAAAGTCCTACGGAAGTGTGCTGCTGCAGCTGCCAATAAGATAAAGCTGATGAGCGATGTAGAAGAGAATTCTAGCTCTGAAAGTGTCTGCTCTGGTCGGAAACTGCCTCACCGCAATGCTTCTGCTGTAGCTAAAAAAAAGTTATTACATACTTCTGAAGATGATCAGAGTTTAAAGTCAGAAATTGAAGAAGAGGAACTAAAAGATCAAAATTCACCATCGCCAGTGTCCAATTCTCATGCTACCCAGAATATTGTCAGTGAATCTGAAAATGGAGATTCAGAATCAGAAAGTGATTTGCGGGTAGCCCGGAAAAACTGGCATGCTAATGGTTATAAGTCCCATGCTCCAGCAACTTCTAAAACAAAATTTCTTAAAATAGAGTCTTCTGAGGAAGACTCTAAAAGTCACGATTCAGATAATGGATATAAAAGAACTGCTGGCCCATCAACGTCTGGGCAGAAACTTAAGGCAGAGAGCATCTCAGAGGAAGCGGATTCTGAACCAGGAAAATGTGGTGGTGGGAAATACAATACATTTCACAAGAATGCCAGTTTCTTTAAAAAAGCAAAGATCTTGAGTGATTCAGAAGACTCTGAATCCGAAGAACAAGATAGAGAAGATGGTAGATCTCATAAAATGGAAATGATCCCAATTTTAGGAAATCTGAAGTGTGACCCTATTGCTGTGTCTCAGTGTTTCTCAGATCATGTGTCTGAGACTGAATTAGATTCAGATGATGGCAAAACAATAGAAAAACCAAATAATTTTATGAAAGGTAATTTAAATCATTTACCTTGGTTCACTGATTTAATCTCACTGTCCTTTTTTTCCCTATTTCATACATCGATTGTTTTATTCCCTTTAAATTTATCTTTGCTAGCTGTTTCTCTTTGCTCCGTGTATTCTCTATTTGCTTTCTCTGTTCATCCCTTATATTCTTATATGCATGCAAAACTGTTCATTGAGTGCACTTTAGTTTTATTGACCTAATAGGCAATCTTAGCCTTAATAATTGTTTCCATTAAAGATTTCAGTTCTTGTATTGGTAATGGGGATATTGTACCGGATATGGGCTTGAGAAAAGTGAGACAAGCACATTAATAAGCCGTGATGTTGACAGCTTGAAAAGAGGAAAGAAAGGGTAGGACTGGTTAAAAGGAATATGGTAAGTAATGTAAATAACAGCAGCTAACAACTGTTACTGAGCTTTTCTGTTTATCAGGAAGTTTTTTAAAATGCTTTACATTATTAACCAATTTAGTTTTCATATCTTTTCTGAGTTAGGTACTATTACTATCATTATCCATTTCACACAACAATAACTGGAGCACAGAGTGGTGAAATAATTTGTTGAATTAAGATTGTACTCCTGGTAAATAGGGATTGAAAGAAAAAATGCTAAAGAGCAGCCAGGCGTGGTGGTTCCCGCCTGTAATCCCAGCACTCTGGGAGGCCGAGGTGGGAGGATGGCTTGAGGTCAGGAGTTTGAGACCAGCCTGAGCAAGAGCGAGACCGTGTCTCTACTAAAAATAGAAAAAATTATCCAGCCAACTAAAAATAGAAAAAATTAGCTGGGCATGGTGGTGCATGCCTTTAGTCCCAGCTACTTGGGAGGCTGAGGCAGGAGGATCGCTTGAGCCCAGGAGTTTGAGGTTGCTGTGAGCTAGGCTGATGCCACGGCACTCTAGCCCAGGTGACAGAGTGAGGCTCTATCTCAAACAAAACAAAACAAAACAAAAAATCCTATAAAGAGCAGAAGGCAGCTAAAGCTAAGATTAAAAGTAATCGTATGATTAGAACCGTGGAGTTAGGGAGAGTTTCAAGAAGGCTGAGTGTTAAATGACTAGTTTGAATATTAGTGTAGTGGTAAACAACAGTTTAGTCTGTCTTTGTCGATGTGAATAGGTGTCAAGGGCATGCGATATTAATGATGGGAATGTGGTGTTCTTGTGAATGGTGTTGAGATTGAAAAAGTCACTGCTTTAAAGTACAGTCATGTGGTGCATAACAACAGCGGTCCCATAAGATTATCGTAGAGCTGAAGAATTCCTATTGCCTAGTGATGTAGCTATCATAAAGTCATAGTGCAGTGCATTACTTTTTCTGTGTTTAGATATGTTCAGATACACAAATACCATTGTGTCACAGTTGCCTACAGAATTCAGTATAGTTACATGCTGTACGGTTTGTAGCCTAGGAGTAATAGGTTATACTATATAGCCTTGGTGTATGTAGTAGGTTATACCACCTAAGTTTGCATAAGTACACTCTGTGATGCTTGCATAAGATGAAGTCACCTAATGATGCATTTCTCAGAACGGATCTCGTTAAGCAACACATGACTGTATTAAGAGATGTGGACTATCCCATTCACTGCCACACCTCCTCCAAGTTAATAAGAATTCTGGTTTTAAGTTGTTTCAAATGTTGAACATTTTTAATTCCTTTAGATTCACTCTTTTATCAAAGATTAAAAGAAGACTACTCTTAATTTTTAGATTCTACTTCACAAGACAATGGACAAAGCAGAAAAGTTTCCAGGAAAAGGGTCTGTTCCAGTGACTCAGAGAGCAATTCAAAGGTGGTAAAGAAATCATCAAAAGCTAAAACAGGTCTCCTAAGGATTACTCGAAGATGTGCAACTACAGCTGCCAGTAAGATGAAGCTTACGAGTGATGTAGAAGATGTCAGTTTAGAAAACGTGTGCACTAGAAGCAGAAACAGAAGGAAAAAAACCATTCGTTTTGCTTCTACCTCAGCTAAAAAGATACTAAGTGATTGTGAGGGAGATGTAAACTGTGAAGTGCCAAATGAACAGCATGCCTGTGAAGGTAAGGCAGTTGAACCTGACTCAGAAGGTAGTACAAAAAATATTAGTCAGTCTTTACATGGAGACTCAGACTCTGAAGGTCTGTTGAATTCAGAACACAAGCAAAGGCATACCAATAGTCACAAAACAAATGTACCTTCTAAAACGAAAAATTCCTCTATTGGGTCTTCAGAGGAAGATTCAAAAAGCCATATTCCAGGGAATGAGATTGGTAGAAAATTTTCTTCTGAGTCAACTTTGACACAAAAAGCTACTGCAGAGAATAACTTTGAAGAGGAGCTGAATTATGGGCTACGTAGGTGGAATGGCAGAAGACTCAGGACCTATGGAAAGGCTCCTTTCAGTAAGACAAAAGTGATTCATGATTCCCACAAAGCAGCAGAAACGGAAATAAAAAGGAAGAGACTGCATCCCGAATTGGAAAATGTGAAAATTTCTGAAACAACTGGGAGTTCAAAGTTTGGACCTGATGCTAGTCCCAAATTATCCGATTTGGGATCTGTTACTGAATCAGATATTGACTGTACTGATAATACAAAAGCCAAAAGGAGAAAAACGAAAGGAAAAGCAAAAGTAGTTAGAAAAGGTAAAACTTTTACAGCTAACATATCTAAAACTGTGAGACGTCAAAGACAAAGCAAACGTTCTAGGTTAAGTGTGGATGATAATGACTGGGAGGATTTGGACTATGCAAAGTCTAAAAGAGTTCTTCGACGTTCAAAAATAAAAACAAGAAATCAGGGTAGAAGGACTGTGAGATACCATGATGGTGATGATGATAGAAGCTTAGAAAATGTGTTAGATTTCAATGATTGCACCTTATGACCTTGAGGGAAAGCCAGTTCATTTGAGAGGAAATGGACTGGAATTTATGGTGAAAGCTGGCTGTTGAAATTATTTTTTTGTCTTACAATTCAGGGAATATATTTATATTTTTCTATGAAAAGTTATGAATGTGACTAAATCATGACTGTTATTTTTATTTGCACTTGCTGGTCTTTGAAGCAGCATTCAGCACAGGTGCCAAAATATGCTTCATTTTGGGGGCAGACCTATTTTGACAGTATTTGACTACATATAGAAGAGTTTGAAATACGTTAAAACACTAGACATCCTGGTTAGCAAAACCAATGAGCATTACTTTCATGGTAGCAAGTGTCATGCAGTTATTTTCTGAATTTGTCAAAAGGTGGTAGTTTCTAACCCCTGTCCTATAGTAGTATAACAATTTCACAAGCTATGTTTACAGATTCTTCATAAATATTATGTGCATACTGACATTGCAATCATGGAAGGTGTAACCATGATTAGTAGGCAAGGTACCTACCACTTTGTTCCCCTTTTCCTGGCTACTTGAGTAGAATGCATTATACCAGATTTGGTCATTTTCATTGAAATGGTTTCCAGTTTTCTTTCCAAATGCTGTTGGGTCTTTCTCTTTTTCTTTCTTTTTAAGGAAAACATGATTTTATTTTATAAACTTGAATTTATAAAGTTCTGGTAAATTATTTTCAATGTTTTGAGTGCATATTTTAAACCTCTAAGGCGAGAGCATAGTCATAGCATTCTCTCTTAAATTGTGCACTAACAAAATGCCATATAATTTTTCTTCTGTCCAAGATCTCCTGGTTTCTGTGATAAGGGATTTAACCAAAATCTTGCCCTTCCTTGATTTTATTCTGTGAAATAGAGGAATTTGTGTGCCTTAGATTTAGGGAAAGTGTGTTCTTTGAGTGGACAGGGCTAAAAGAATATTTAAGTTAATATGTAGGTTTCCCCATATGTATTGAAATTGTAGAGTTGAGTTTTGTTAAAAGAGTGCAATTGCAAATCTTACCTATATAGGAAAGTAGTTAAATGTCATTCTCCATCTCTTTGTTTTAGTTTACTGCTGCCATGTGCAATCCTAAGCATTCTTTGCTGGGGCAACTAAGTATATCTTTATTAGTGACCTCTAGTCTAAATATAAGAAACTGTCATCTTTTGTGGGAAAATAATTTTGGGATCCATTTAAAGTGAAACTTTATCACATCAAATATTATAGTATACTTACTTTCTAGCCAAATACTTCATAGGTTATGCTACTCCAGTGTAGGTGGCCATTCCTAGCTTGTTTGTGCCTGAAAATGGACTTGATTCAAATGGTTTACATATTTAGTAGGTAAGGGGTATATTACAGTACTCCTGCCTTTAAGTTATTTATTGGCCCTAATTGTGTTTGGTTTCATACAAAATTAACCCTTTTCTCCTGTGAATCCTTGAGGTGGCAGATAAGGAAAAGCATCAGACTCTGATATGACTGTTAGAGTGTGTTCTTAAGTGTTCCTACTTTTTAGTTATCTATTCCGTTTGACATGGTAGGAGGTACTTTTTCTTTCTACTCTGATATAGGAGGAAGGATGTTTTGGACATTACCAATTGAGATAGGTGGGTTACCTATCTCTCATGTGGTGGCTTAGTGAGCATCACCACTTCAGAAATATGATGCTTTTCTTCTCAAAGCTTATGTTAAATGTATAGTAGACAGATTGATTTATGATAAATGTCTTCTACTGTGGGCCTGAAAAAATTAATAGGATGCCTTTTACTTCCCTAATTTTAAGAACTGGTGATAGATGTCAGATACATTAATTTATTTAAACTCTTCTTCAGCTTCATTGTTTTATAATCTGTTCTCAGGGTTATTAACTCCATGTTTACCATCATCTGCAAAAAGGTACCAAAAAATCCATAAATAAATATGGAATATGTTCAATAAGTACATAAATTCTTTTGGCAAACTGATACTTTGACAGTTTAGGCTTCATTAATAGAACTGCTCTCATTCTTTGGACAGAATTAACTGGTCACAGATTGATCAACTAATTACTAATATTTTAATCTAAAGTGGTTAGACCCTTGTGTATACAGAAGCAGTATTTTGGTTTAATCAGATTTGGTTTCATCAGAAGAAGCAAGAATGGGCCTGGTGACTTTAAAAGCATGACTGACAATGTTAGCTTCTCAAGTTCTGAAATAAAACTAAGGGATTATGGAGAAAATAATTTTTATGGGTTTTTTTGGTTATGGTGCTATTCCTAAGGTTAACTTTGAATATGTGACACACTCCTAAGTACCTTTAAGGAAAATTAATAAATCATTAATAGTTAACAATGTTTACATTGAGCACTAGAACATGTTTGACTTTCTTTCTACTTTATGCAAAATGCACAGGTGTACTTTAATGTTCAGGATCAGTTTGTGTTTTTCTTGAGAAAAAGACAAAGGGTTATAAATTGAATGTGAACTGATCTGGAAATCAGTGCTATAGCTTTCCATTGCGCTTGAAGTTCAACTGAATGGTGTTTATGAAAAAAAAATTTCTACTTTTTTGTTTCCTGTGGTTGTGTATGTCCAGAATCCTATGAATTTATTCACTTATGATTTCCAAGAAAAGGTTTTGAAGTATTCAGATTTGATTTTTGCTTCCTTTGAAAGACTAATTTTATAATATTAATACCAAGCGTATTAAGGAAAAAAGATCGCAACATTTAAAAAGCACTTTTTTCATGTCCTACTTATTTAAAAAGGGTATACTGACAATGTGAAATAACTTACGAATAAAAGGAAAAGTTTATCCCATATTCAGATAATTCCTAGGGTGGTCATTGTCCCCCCTTCTCCCCCCAATGCTGCTTTTTTTTTAAGTGGAAAATCTCAGATTAAGTCATTTCTCAATTTAGTGATCCTTGGAAAGAATGATATAGCAGTTATTCACAACTTCCAAGTTACAATAGAAAGATTTCTTCCGAAAATTAGAAAGTTGTACCTAAAAAGGAATTGATTTTATAAGAAAATGGAGGGAAGGGACTTATGTCTTTTTTTTTTTTTTGACTTATGTCTTAAGAAAAGGCACTTCAGAACCTCAAAGTGCAAATTGAAAAAGGGGATATAAAACAAACCAATAAAACACCATCTGATGGTATTACTGTTGATAAATTAAGATGCATCACTAAGCCCTGTGCACTCATTGACCTCTTCAGTGAAAATTCTAACACTGGGTACACACTACATTCCCTGTCTCTCTTCTAGACGTTTTCTCTTTAGAATAATCAGAACACAATTTATTAACCTCAATGTATGGTATTAAAAACTACATTGGAAGGATTTTAATCTCTTCTGTCAGTACAAGTTGAATTTGATTGCGCCAACTGAAAAAAAAAAAACCGAGAGGTTTGTATATTGGTAAACTGCAAGAACGTTGTTAAAGGTGCATACGATATTTTTTCTGTTTTCCTTTATACTCCGATTTATTGAATTTTCAAGTAACGTTTAAGTGGCTAGAAAAAGGTCTTTCTGCTTTGCTTTTTATAGCTGAAATAACCAGCTTCCATTCTTTTCATCAATAATTCAAAATATTTACTATATCAGGTATTTTGTAGTTACCACCAAATACTGTAGTTTTCTTATTGTATGGAAATAATAGTTCAGTTATTCTAGTATGATGGAGTGCAACAAAGCATAGAAGAGCTTTTCACATGTTAGTTATTTTTGAAGTTATACCTCTGAACTTCTGCTGTGGATATTGGGGAATACCTAAAGCAGAAACCCTAAGAAATTTGCAAGTTAACAGTTTGAGTCTTGTCTCTTATCCTAGTATTTGGGAACATAAGAACCAAACCAAATAAATTTGTCAAAGCTAGGGAGAAAATGGAGCATTGTGGAAAGAATTTAGAAGCCAACTAGATTAAACATTAATCCTACTTAATAGATCAAATGGTTAATAGAAAGGACTAAAGACTAAAGGATGTCATGCTGAGGGCTGTGTTGTCTTAAATTTTAAGAAAGTTTTTAAAGCTCTTAAATCACAAATGTTGCTTGAGGATACATGGTGATCCTCAAGAGATTTTTACCAGTCTTTTTAATAATCTGTCAAGCTGATTCCTAATATATTGTTAAATAGGTAGGAAAATGTCAAGATTTTTAATTGGTGTGTGCTCAGGGTTTGCTTTTCTAGATTTGATGGGGGGCGGGGACAGTCACAACATTTGGATCCTACAAATCTGCAGGCAGCATGTAAATAACTATACATCTGTTTCTTAAGTATGGCAAAATGGATAGTTTCATTGAGTTTAATTATCCATGCTACAGTATATTTTCTGGTCACATTTTAGTTCTTAAGTCAATTTTAAGGTAAGTTTGATCATTTATTAAAACTCTTAAGTGGAAATTTGGATTACCAAAGAGAAGAGGTAATCTAACTGAACTAATTGAAATGAGATATCAGTTAGAGAATGTATGGACAATAGCAGCCCTATCCTTTGTTCCACAAGGTAAATAATTTAGAAATTACCTTTTTTGAACAGTGGTTAAAAGTTAAAGGACTCTTTAATTTTTCATATATTGAAGTTAAATTTCTGAGTGTGGGTCAGTCCTTGGACTGCACCTACACATTCAGTTCACCTATAAAATTCCAACCATGTCATTATAGAAGCCTGTCAAAAAAGCAAATCTTTAATTTTCCACTCGAACATAAGATCTTTAATGTTCTAAATTAACTCATTCATCTAGGAACCTGTCTTTAGTCAATTACTAACTAAAAGGGTAGAGCATAAAAAATTTAGCATTGTCATCTTAACTAGCAAAAGGCTTAAAAAAAAATCACTCCAAGCCAAATACATTCTAGCTGGTTAATTCCATAAGGTCATTATGCTGTCAGTTTCCCTTGCAACTCATCTTTATCTCTTGTCCTAAGTAGTTCCCCATTTGTAGTTTCTTCTTCTCGTGCAGGTGGAACACAGGGATGTAAGGTGTAAATACGAGCTAGGGGGGACTGAAAAAAGGGGTTTGTCTCTAGATGGTCTGTGACCCTGCTTCTTTTCATTAATAAGGTAGATTGAAAACCTATTTACTTACATTATTCTGCCTACATTTAGTGTGAAATGCTCTGAGATCTCTCTTATAAAAAGTTAACTAAGGTAAGTGTAGGAACTTGAATTCATACTTCATAAAGTTTTTACTAGATTTTTATAAAATAATTGGTAATAGCCATCACAGATCTTTTCAGAATTGTACAAATGACTTACCAATTATTTTCTAGGGATGAGAGAAAACTGTATTGTGATGAGCTACATTAGCTATAGTTCCAAAACAAAAAATTTCCAGGTTGTGTGATGCCCATCATGTAAATTGTACCCTAAAAATGACTAAATTAGTGAAGAACAATTCTAGTTTACTGAATTATTTCTGACAGTTTCTTGACTTGATGCTGCCATAGAAGTTAAGATTACAATGTTACCAGCTTCCCCTAGAAAATAGAAAAGTACTTAAAAACCTGCTGAGTTACAAGAAACCATTTTATTCTATGGCCATTCTCTAAAGAGAATGGGATCCTTCAGTTTATGGGATCCTTCTGGAAATTTATGTTTTAGGAGGACTATCATTGATAAATGCTATTTGCTTTCTGAGTTTTGGGATCGTTTCACTGCCCTTCAATGAAGGGCAGACAAAGAAGAGAAGATACATCTCTGGACCAGTTCTGATAAAAGGCTTCCTCAAGGGAGGTTATAACTTACAACTAAAAGGTTTACCCACTATGTGGATTTGATTTATGCATCAACCACAGCAACCAATAATATCAAGACTTCAAAAGAATGAAACAGTAGTATGTTTTCATTTTTAGACATTCTTTTCTCATTCTCAGATTTGCTTTAAATGCTCCAATTTAAAAAATACAGATCAGATTTAAAAATTTTAATGCTTCTATAGTAATGATGTGAAGTTTTTGGACTTAGGAAAAAACAGTTTTGTATGATCAAATACCATAACTGGAACATAAGTAATCCTTAAAATGTAGAAATTAGAGATTAGTGTTTTGAATCATAACTGTCTACATCCAAGTTTCTATTCACCACAGACCATTTTAGAACACATAAAGATATCTGTGAGTTATAATTGAAAGTGGTCATTCAGGTAAACTGTCATGGAGTGTTACTACGGATGGAAATTCTTACACTACTGATGTGTTTTTGCCATACCCAAATAGGAATCATTTACAGGAAAGCAACAATGCCTCAAGCATTCAGTGCCTTTCCCAACACGTGACTGACACAAGACCATCGGGAAAGTAGGATTTGTGGGATTGTACTGACTACTTAGTATTAAATGACACTGTCACAACTGTATTGTTAGAGCAGCATCCTCCAAAGTTCTTAAGCTTGTACCCTAACACATTTGCCTTCTCTGAATTATCCTGTATATATTTCTAAAAACTGTTTGTAGTTTTCTCAAGGAGAATAAAGCACTTTATAATTTACCAAATTTTCAGTAATAAAATTAAGACTGACTTAAAAGTATGTATT